AAAAAAATGGATTCATGAAGCCTGTAAAATAGTATTTGGGGAGAATGCACATGTATACATGAAGACTTAATCCTTGTATTTTCAAATATTCTTTGTAGTGGCTATTTGCATTGCTTTTATATTTGTGCAAATGCTGTATGAATATAAGAGCATATTTTTGCCAGGTTGTTCCTCAGCAAGAACATGTTATAATTATTTTAGAGCATGTTCTCTGAAGACAAAATTTGCCTTTCAAGTTTCCTATGTGGAAAAAAAAAGCAACAACTGTACAATACCAAATATAATGGTATACAGAGCAAGGGTTCCCAACGGGTGTGTGTGTGTGTGTGTGTGTGCAAGACGATATTCCAGAGCGTGCAAAAACTTGGGTTTAGAAGTTTCAAAATTATAGTGTGTATGTATAATTATATGCATATAATTATTTTTAACAGTGTGATAATGTATCAGAAGCGTTCTAGGGGTGCAGGGTGTAGAAAAGGAACCCCTGGTATAAAGAAATGCTTTTTTTTAAAGAAAAACTCTTAGATACCAATGAGGGTCAAGCTTTATGGCCTAGGACCCCTAATCTTTGGTCATCCCCCTTTCCATAAAATATTCAGCATGGATTATGACAGAAAAACCTAGGCGAGTATCGAAAGTACTTAGAATCAATTGCCAGTCTTAAACCAAGCAACTTTAAAAGGCAGCCGGAATGCTTTACAAGTAAAAATCCCTTTAAATTTTGGGGCGGTTTATATCTTGCCTACAATCCTATAGGATTAGGATCATCACACAATTACGTTGAAACGGGGGAGGAGTAGCTCCAAGTGAGGGGAATTATTGCTTCTTCTGATGAAACAACAATTCTAGGTTTGTCACTAAAATTGCACGTAATATAACTTTGAACGAGTAAGGGGCGCAAGGACTGTTCATTCCTAGCGCAAGCCCCATTCAGTCCCCCACCCCAATCGCTTCCCCCCCCCCCTTCGGTGCACTCCTGAATGTGGCTTCCTTTCCTTCCATGAGAAGCGAGGCGAATATGCATTTTTGCCGGCTTCCACGCGTTAACAGAGAAGCACAGAAGCTTAAAACTACGGTCTGCTGGCTCATCCGTTTCTGACACACGCCGCTCTATTTTTCCAAGCCGGGTTGCGCCGACCCAGCCAAAGGATGCTTCCCCCCCCCCCACCCCAACACCCTAACTTGGTGGGAGCGGCTCCTGCCTCGCTTCGCAAACCTCCCCTTCTTCCTTCAAAACCCTTATGGGACCCCATGAAGAACCGCAGCGCCGAATTCCCCTCAGCGCTGTTGGAACTCGGTATTCCTTCGCTCCCCCTCCCTTTCTCCCTCCCCCCCCCCCCCCTTAACGGTCCGTCTAGTCACGTGGCGACGCCCCGAATGCCGGAGAAGAAGG